ATTAAATTGTATGTTCTGAGGTAGAAAGTCACATGATGTTTTTAAATGGAATATATTTATTGTCACATTGGAACATTAAAATTATTTGCATAGTTAACTCATGTGCATAATTCAAACAAACCAGTTCCAACAAAATGTCTTCATGAGAAAACCTTGTAAATGTACAGTATAACTACATTCAATAAACAGTCAAACCACTTCTTTCAACAGACTCATTTGAGAGGTGCAGACTTACAGCAGATCTTCTAGAACTTTAATACATTCTCAGACTTGATCTATAGGATCCTTCAGCCTGGTTGTTCCTTCCTTGCAAATCCGTGGCCACTTTTGATGGCCCAGCCCCTCTAGCAGAGAGAATGGGGAAGGACGGGAATGCTTGCATCAACCTTCTCCATGGCAACATGCCTGAAGCCTGTCCTGAAATGCCTGTCCTGAAATGCCTGGGGGTCACAATGATGACAAAACAGTATTTAACCGAGCACACTGCTCCGGCTATTTACAAAAGGGTTGGAGGGAGGGGAGAGAGCAGCTTCACAAAACTCCATTTACAGTATGGGTCAGTACATCTCAATACCTTTACAATTCCAGTCAAATTCTTTGTGTCCCCCGCCCCCCGCTGACAATAAGTATCTAGCCCACGCCACACACAAAAGGGCGGCCGGCGGTTTATGGTCTCCGCTGACATTAACCCAACAGATTTCGGCTCTTCTCCATTAAACTGCTCTTTCTTTTCTCTATCATGCCATTAAACTTCTCCCTTTCTTCCTCCGTCACACAGGTCATTTCGAGTGTGAAGCAATCGGAGAGCGAGAGATACAGCAACTTGCCTTTAGCAATAATTAGTTCCTCTGTACGGCGGAACAATCGGCCTTTTTCCGAGCACCAAAAGGATTCTGCTGTTAAGAAGACATTAGCTGCCGTAACAAAGGGGGTCCCGGCCTTTGGAGCCGTTGGCCTCGCATTAGCTCATAGTCCTGCTTCCGTTTCAGCCTGGCTTTGAGTCAGGACACAGCGATGGGAGAAATCTCCCCGTGAGTTTGAGCTGCACGCATTATGCTCCCATCCCAGCCTAATCCTGCTTTTACAGGGGTCAAACTAAGGTCAATCCTCAGAGCATCCACACAGGACATGATGCTGGGGTTTGTGCACACATCTACAGATGCAAATCTCACACATTGAGGGTTTTAGTTTCAAAGTGTCTTAGGGAAAGAGAAACTTGAAGAACTGACAGAAATGTAAAATCTTCCAGTCAGCTCGAATATCTTAAAAAGTATAAACTGTTTCTGTGTCATTCTGTTTCTGAGTTTTGCCATGAGCAATTCATATAAATTGAGTTACAAATTATTCATAAAGTCAAAATAGTCTTAAATTTCAGCTTGTGCATAGCGGGGCAAATTTAGGCAGAGGAAACCAATTAAATTAAATAATGAACAAAAATATAGATATATATAAATGTGGCTTGGCTGTCCCCTTTTCAAGGTGATCAGACCAAGACTGGAGAAATAACATTCCTAAACTCCTGAATTGAATTAAACTTAATCTGCCGCAATGAAGCCATGCTATTCAAGCCAAATCAAATATATTTATTTTGGTGATTTATGATATTTTTATAAGAAGGTAAGTTTTCAGTGCCTCCATATTTAGGCATATACAGTGTACATTCTCTTGCTTTATAAGAAATAAAATATGATACAAATTAGATCAAATTGTGTTTTTAGCCAAATACACAGCCAAACTTAGCCAATTTGTCTGCCTGGTTAGAAAAAATATTAAACATCTTTTCTTCTGTACATTATGATGTTTTGATGCAAGTTGAATTCTATGTAGATTTATGCTTTATTTTGAAAAAAAAAAAAAAAATTTTTAAACAACTGAGCAAAAAGAGATCTACACAGAAAGAAATTACTTTGAAAATGTATTTAGAAATTGAAAGTAAATTTTGCAAATACTTACAAAGAAATAGCAAAATAAATAAAATGCACATTACATTTTGAAGTAGAAATAGTATTTCCTTATAAAATGTATTCCAATAACATTTTATTTTACTTCCAAAAATCTTTTTTTTTTTTTTTTGCATTCTATTTATTGGTTGTTAGCATATTATGTTGTTATGTGGTTCTTAGAGTGTTGCTAGATTGTTTGAGTATGTTTTGACATATGCACTCAACAAAGTTTAATACTTTAAAAAGTATGACATAAGTATGAGCAATAATAAAAGTGATGGTTGCTTTAGCAAACACTGCTAACAATATAGATTTATAATATCAGACAATGTTATTGACAACAGCCTGAAAAGTAATTACTGGCTATCAGAATCTGCCAAAATTTATTTTTCCGTTTGTTTCCATTAGTTACTTGTGTTAGTCTTTGATTAGTATCCCACACTTCCACCTCATGACAGGAAGACCTTCGCACTCTTTTAAAGGTGTGTGTGACAGGTACAGATACTGGCTAAACAAAGTGTGAGAGAAAGAATGTGGGACCTCCGCGTTCTCTGTGAAGCATCGCCTCCATGTTTGCTATCCTCTTTTACCAGGGTACCACGTCATGTGTCTTCTCATTCATCAGTTGAGAGTCACTAGTGTTGGTGATAGCTCAGGCCTCTTTGACAGAGAGAGGACGGGGCGACTAACACCCCAAACCCCCACCTCCAGCTGCCAGGACAGGGCACACAACTGACAGAGGCGTCCTTGAGTCTGTCATCAGAACTAGCTGTGGGTGCTGAGGTACCCCTCCCATCTGCACAAGATGGTTATTTCCTCTTTGCCCTTCCTGCCCCCACAAATAGGCCCAAACTTAGATGCACAGACATGCAGTGCCATTCAATACCATGACTGACTTTGTCCATGCTAAGTTCTTTGATTGAGCATGTGAACTTATATTGGACTTAAAGGGATAGTTCACCCAAAAATGTCATTTACTCACCCTCATGTCATTACAAACCCGTATGAGTTTCTTTCTCATGTTGAACATAGAAGATATTTTGGAGAATGCTGGTAATCAAACAGTTGATGGTCCCCATTGACTTCCATAGTATTTCTTTCCCTACTATGGTAGTCAACGGGGACCAACAACTTCTTTTTTTTTCTTCTTTCGTGTTCAACATAAGAAAGAAATTTGTACAGGTTTGGAATGACACGAGGGTTAGAATAGTAAATTATTACAAAATTTTCATTTTTGGGTAAACTACTCCTTTAAAGTCTGGGTCAGTTTCCAGCTTATTCTGGACAAGAACTGCTTATTCAGGAAGAGACCATACACATTAAACATTTGAATGAATAAATAAAGACAAAATACAGTGCTGCAATCTAGTACAAATGGCATGGAAAACACTGAAGAAATCAAATGAAATGAATGTAGCATTTAATGAAATTTTATGTTCATCCAGAACTAATACTGTGACAGAAATATTGAAATTCTCAATTCTCATTATGCTTTGCATTCAGCTGCAATGTAATACATTTGTGCAGTTCGATGTTATGTAGTGTATGCAATGTGCAATATAAATAATTTAGACACAGCATGTTGATGTATTATGCTATGGGGGTTTTGTAAAGACATTTTGTTATATGAGTTGGGGGTTTACCATGATGGTGAATTATGGGGGGCTTTTGCACAGTAAGAGGAATGGGTTGATGAACAACATTCCTTTAAGATGTTGAAGCCACGTTTCTTTCTCGCAAATGCTTGTACACTAAAATCAATATTTTTCTAAGTGAATCAAAGATTACCAGAGTACATTTTACGAAAATACTATTTTAAGAAAATGCTAGAAAATGGTTTCTACACCAAATTTTGTAACTGGTTTAGAAGTTACGAGTTACAAGAGCTTCATGTGATTTTCACAAAACGATGCGTGAACAGACTGGATACACCAATGTTTTTGGATCCTCTAGATCTTTAGCCCTAGCCTGCGTTGAAAGTCTGGTTCAACACTCATACGGAGAACAGGATGTAATGAGCTTGCTTACTATCTGCAATTGTATTTGGGTTATAATCGACTTGAAATGTGATGTACGAGCATGTCGCTTCCTTCTCAGCGGTCCCTCTTTACAAATGATTTTCTGTTACAGGATTTTCCTCGGCATGTATGAACACACCAGCGTTGTTCTTGGCCCGAGAGCAGTCTCAGCATGAAAAACCCTTATGAGTTCATGACAACAGCTTGGCTAGCTAACAAGGCAAAACTGTTCTGTATACGAACTGTGCACTTTCATCATTAAAATCCTTTCAGAATACGTGCTAATCACCCCCACACTAATTTCTTGACTACCGCAAACAAACGAAACACTGTAAAACCTACAAAGTTTAACCAGTCTGCTTTTCTGGCCGAGATTGCACTCTTACAATCTCGGTCAACATGGAGAACATGTGCTTGCCTGGTGGTGTTCATGACCTCAAAGTGTTAAAACAGAGCTAAAGCCAAGAGGCTTGTCTTAACGCTAACCTCTTGAAAATCTTTCCACTCGGGTCATTCCGTGAGAAGCAATTACGCAGAAATTTTGAACGCAATAAGGAATTGAGCCTGAATTGTTTTCATGTAACGTTTCACTCCATCTACGTCATCTCTGTTGTTGCAAAACCTGAATAAAACAACAGTCGTACTTGCAGGCCCCCCGAGTAATGACTGGAAAGAGTTGAGCTCATTGTGCCAAGTGCGAGGTTTTGCTAGCACTAGCACGTTGCTATTTATTATTAGGCTATGGTGTCCAAACAAACACTTTCCCAGGGTTTTTGAGTTTGAGAGACCGGTTCTTGTGTGCTTTTAATCGGAACAATAACTAGTGTGAGATGATTTATAGAAGTGTCATGTGTAATTGTGCTAAATTGTTATTTGCTCAAGACATGGAACTTAAATGAATGACAGCTATGTTTTTGCAATCAGTCTTGCTCAACATCTCGTGAAAGTCCATTTGAATTAAAAGAAAAAAGTGAGTCTTACAGGTTTAAATGGTAAAGATTTTTAATTAGTTCATAAATATTTCTTTTTTAATTCAGCATACAAAAATGACAGTATGTACATCCACAGATAAGTGGTTCACGACTTATTACGGCCATAATAGGTGACCCACATATTCTGTTCACATGCTCAGAGAGGTTTGGCATTTGAATGTCAGCATTTTTTTATGTTGGGTAAAAATATAACAAGGCACAACACATACAGTCCAATGTCCTTGTTGATATACGTGGAATAAATACAGGTATTCTCCCTCTAGAATTGAAGTAACCAACCAACAGATGGAAGCCATTGTAAGTTCCTCATTCAAAAGCCACATTTGAAGTTCCCTTTGCGTGATCAGCACTTTCTTTATCTTGTCAGTCTATTAAACAGTCTTAACTGGTGAAAATCAAGTACCATCTGAGCATTGAGGCCTGAATCCCTTAGAACTTGGAATGTGGAATCCTCTGGAACGTCAAGCGATTCCGAAGGCTCTAAGAAGAGTGCTGAAAATCAATGCCAAAAACAGGGAAAATTTACCTTTTTAAAAAATAAAAATAAACGGACCCAGGTATTGTTTAAGAAAATAGACTTTTAAGATCTGGATAAAGGAGCATATGTTTTTATGTTTAAAAAAACAAGATGAGGAGTAAAAATCCTCTTGAGGACGGTGAGCTGGGTGTTTTTAACAAAAACCATGTTCATTTGTGCAATAAAAAAATAAAGACCAGCTTCTGAGTTTATAAAAGCCAAAAATAAACCATGTCTTCTCAAAAGCATATAAGATGGAAAAGCGTAAGACAAAAGAAATCCTCGTTGGCAACATGCTTTGGTTATTTGTGGCCAAGTAAGTCAGGTAGACAAAGGTTATGCTCCACACCCAGGCTGAATATATCTAGAACAGAATCAAGTCTTGAAATTTTCAGCTCGTTCAACCACAAAGTCTGGGAATTCGAATGAGAATTCTGTCCAGTTCTGTTACAATGAGTAGAGAGCATTCCAGATCTCCTTTAGATTAGTTTAGCTGAGAATAGGTACGTGTGACGGGGATCAGGACAATTGTCGAGCGATGGAGAGCCGACTCATTTGCACACGTATTTCTCCACTGTCCTCTCGCACTTCTTGCACGTGACATAGCAGCACCAGTGGTATTTGCAGTGGCATCGCTCCACCACTCTCTCTGAGTACGGGTTGTAGCCTCTGCCACAGCACATCAGATCACAGCTGTCACTTCCACTGGAGGTTTTATTGCACTGCCTGCAGAAGAAACAGACAAAAATAACTTTATAGTACATGCTGAATCACCAACAAACATAATAAAAACATTATTGCTGTCATTGGTTTGGCAACGATAATCACTCATAAGGAAGGCATTTTTAGGGGACTTTTACATAGTTTTTTTAACAGGTTGTCTTAAAAACAATGATAAAGCACACGCAAATATGGGTAAAATATACATTTTTATAGAAATATCTTTTCTATTATTATTTTTTATAAATGTAAATTTTTAATCATATGACATTTTTTATCAGCACTTCATATTGAGGAATATTGTTTCTATGATTTTATATTTTTGATAAAATAGTATATTTGTATTATAGTTTTTATAAAATATATAAATATATATTAAAATAAATATATATTTCTAGAAATATATATGAAAGTCCATTTTAATTTATTTGACATTAACACTTTTCAATACTGAGGACTTATATTTTTTATAGAAAAATCTGTGAAAATATTTTTTTACATTTTTCTTTTATCAGTTTTCATATTTTTGATAAAATAGTATATTTTTAACACCTTTCTATATTGAGTGACTGATCAGTTAATATTTGAATACATCTTTTCTACATGTATCTATTATCATTTTTTATTTTAAAAATATAAAACGTAAAAAAAAATTATATTTAAAAAAATATATTTAAAATTCAATATTGAGCGGGGAAAAATGTATTTACGTACTTATAAAAAATAAATAAATATACTAACAGACTAGTCAGTTGTTAGACAACTAACTCGTACCTAATCTAAACTGTTTTGTATATGGAATTTCAGAAACATGACTTCAAAAATACATTCACACAAATAGATGTCCAAACATTTCTGTGTGACCATGAGAGAAATTACTAAACATAAGCGTCTTTTCAAACCAAGGTAAACATTTAGCCCAACCACATATTAAACCAACAGCACTAAACCTTCTTATAACTCGTTTTAAGAGCCAGATGATTCGTACCCAGGGAACATTTTCTCTTGCATTTAAGTGGAGCCTGCAGACACCCTCATGTACTGAAGCCTGAGGCATCTTGAGCAATGAACAGCCCTGTCATAAATCACGCTCTATACACTAGGAGTCGGCCTGTGTGTAGCCCTCTCAGCGTAAGTGCATTGTTTTATAATTGTGTGGTGTTAATGCTCAGGGTGCTGAGAGACAGACAAGAGGGGATGGCTACTAGAGAACGAGAGAGAGAGAGAGAGGTGAAGAATACTGTTATTTAAAACTAAAGTTAAAGTCTCTCCCAGGTCAATGCTGAAAGGGCAGAAAGGCAGGTACATATGCTTTAGGACTCAATGAGTAGCATATGTTCTGCTGACCTGCACCAATGTGGAGTTATATAGTCAAACGGTTTATAATTCATGAAGAGACCTTAAATTAAATAAGAAAAGAAGTCTATATTTAGTACATTTTGCTTCCAAACTCCTAACGTCTCTAAAGTGATCTGGTTTTACCATCAGTTGAACAATTTAACAGCTGTGAGCAGAACTTTAAGTTTCATTCCAAAGTGAAAACACATTTTAAAACATCTTTTAAACAGCGCTCACTCACTTCAAGATTGTTTCTTGTTTCTTTAGTGATACCGATCATCTCTAAGCCTCTGGGATGTTGTTCTGTCTGAACTTCTAATGCGCCAATTTCATTAATAGCAGTCTTGCGGCTCACAAAGCAGCATGAGGAACATGCAGAGTAATGTAACTTCAGATGAGATACGTCCAGGGCTGCACTAAGCTTGTCATTTGGTCTCCCCATTTCTCATCGCCAAATCAGATTAGAGAAGCCATCTCTGCAGGTCTAGTTAGAGTAACACTCACGGCTCATTATCTTAAGACTCTTTAAATCACAAAGAGAGGATGTGCAATGATAGCAGCTTCCTGAATTCACGGGTGAATCTCGCTGAAAAATAAACCAGGTCACATTTCACCACAACATCAAATAAAAAAGAAAAATAGAAAGAAATGTTGACATTTCAATATTACAATATGTAGTTCTATTTTTCTTAATGTGCTTAATTATCATTAGAACAACAATTATAAAAAAACTAAGCACATTCCCACATCCCAAAATTCTCATTATAGAAACATTATAAAAACTTAGGATGTGCAAATGAAAAATGTTTAGTGTGTCAAAACACACATTTAGGTAAGACACAATTTTATAGAAATGTGTACAAAAACATTTTTTTGTAATATCTTTATTTTTTTTATTATTTGCCATTATATTTTATCAGCACTTTGCATATTGAACAAATATATTTTGGTGGTCCGGATATTTTTTTGCAGAAAAATCTGGAGAAATATATTTTCTATATTTTAAATAATTCAAATATTTCAATAAAATATATTAGCAAATAATATGAAATAATATATTTCATGAAAATTGCATTGCCATAATTTGTATGAACATTTTTACTCATAATTTGCATATAATAATTTAATATTTCTCATTACCCATCTTATTACTTTAATACAGCAGCTTTTTTATTTTAATAAAAAAAAAAAAATCTCTCTTTCGCTATATATATATATATATATATATATAAAAACATAAACACACACATATGCACGCACACGTACGCGCACACACACACACATGCACTCACACTCATATTAATATTGGCATTTCAGCAATAAGAATGGCCTTTTTTCCCAATGGGAATTGTGCTTAGTTGTCACAAAAATAATGTCACAATGTAAAAAATCTCTTCAGGCAAAACATATTCTTCATTCTTTCTGCTGATTTTGGGGTAAAACATTATATAATTATAATAACTGACCTTTCATAAAAAACTGACATCAAAACATAAAATGTTCATCTGAGGACAGCAGGTGTTTTAAAGACAGGTATGGGGTGATGGGATAAACAGAGGTGCTGGACCCCTTGCATACCAGAGACCACCATGGAAGCAACATGTGCGACACACACAGTTCCCTGTTGACGTTCTCTATTGATTACAAAACACACCAATGTCTTGTGACCAAGTACCAAGCACTAAATATATGAACAAAGAGCAAGCGTGAGTAGTCTTATCAGCACTAAGGCTGAGGATGCATACTGTGTGTTGAGTGCACCTGACATATAGCATGTCTCTAGGTTATCAGCGCACTGACCTATAATGCCTATAAAAACCTAAACACTTACGATGTTCAACTGAAAATATTGAGTTTAAGAATTTGAAAAGTTATAGACATTAATGTATTTTATTGTTGCTGCCAGAATTTTTGGAGCCGTAGTTAGGAATGTGGATTGCTGAAAATTCATGAACCAATAGTTCCACAAAGCTTAGCCAAGAAAAGCAACACTGAGCACATTAAATGCAAACATAACAAAAGCGAGGAAGCTGAGGTTATTCCATTCTTACCTAAATCTACACCTGTGTCTTCACTGATAAAGCAATAGGAAATAAGCAGAGGTCAATGCTGAAAGGGCAGAAAGGCAGGTACATATGCTTTAGGACTCAATGAGTAGCATATGTTCTGCTGACCTGCACCAATGTGGAGTTATATAGTCAAACGGTTTATAATTCATGAAGAGACCTTAAATTAAATAAGAAAAGAAGTCTATATTTAGTACATTTTGCTTCCAAACTCCTAACGTCTCTAAAGTGATCTGGTTTTACCATCAGTTGAACAATTTAACAGCTGTGAGCAGAACTTTAAGTTTCATTCCAAAGTGAAAACACATTTTAAAACATCTTTTAAACAGCGCTCACTCACTTCAAGATTGTTTCTTGTTTCTTTAGTGATACCGATCATCTCTAAGCCTCTGGGATGTTGTTCTGTCTGAACTTCTAATGCGCCAATTTCATTAATAGCAGTCTTGCGGCTCACAAAGCAGCATGAGGAACATGCAGAGTAATGTAACTTCAGATGAGATACGTCCAGGGCTGCACTAAGCTTGTCATTTGGTCTCCCCATTTCTCATCGCCAAATCAGATTAGAGAAGCCATCTCTGCAGGTCTAGTTAGAGTAACACTCACGGCTCATTATCTTAAGACTCTTTAAATCACAAAGAGAGGATGTGCAATGATAGCAGCTTCCTGAATTCACGGGTGAATCTCGCTGAAAAATAAACCAGGTCACATTTCACCACAACATCAAATAAAAAAGAAAAATAGAAAGAAATGTTGACATTTCAATATTACAATATGTAGTTCTATTTTTCTTAATGTGCTTAATTATCATTAGAACAACAATTATAAAAAAAACTAAGCACATTCCCACATCCCAAAATTCTCATTATAGAAACATTATAAAAACTTAGGATGTGCAAATGAAAAATGTTTAGTGTGTCAAAACACACATTTAGGTAAGACACAATTTTATAGAAATGTGTACAAAAACATTTTTTTGTAATATCTTTATTTTTTTTATTATTTGCCATTATATTTTATCAGCACTTTGCATATTGAACAAATATATTTTGGTGGTCCGGATATTTTTTTGCAGAAAAATCTGGAGAAATATATTTTCTATATTTTAAATAATTCAAATATTTCAATAAAATATATTAGCAAATAATATGAAATAATATATTTCATGAAAATTGCATTGCCATAATTTGTATGAACATTTTTACTCATAATTTGCATATAATAATTTAATATTTCTCATTACCCATCTTATTACTTTAATACAGCAGCTTTTTTATTTTAATAAAAAAAAAAAAATCTCTCTTTCGCTATATATATATATATATATATATATAAAAACATAAACACACACATATGCACGCACACGTACGCGCACACACACACACATGCACTCACACTCATATTAATATTGGCATTTCAGCAATAAGAATGGCCTTTTTTCCCAATGGGAATTGTGCTTAGTTGTCACAAAAATAATGTCACAATGTAAAAAATCTCTTCAGGCAAAACATATTCTTCATTCTTTCTGCTGATTTTGGGGTAAAACATTATATAATTATAATAACTGACCTTTCATAAAAAACTGACATCAAAACATAAAATGTTCATCTGAGGACAGCAGGTGTTTTAAAGACAGGTATGGGGTGATGGGATAAACAGAGGTGCTGGACCCCTTGCATACCAGAGACCACCATGGAAGCAACATGTGCGACACACACAGTTCCCTGTTGACGTTCTCTATTGATTACAAAACACACCAATGTCTTGTGACCAAGTACCAAGCACTAAATATATGAACAAAGAGCAAGCGTGAGTAGTCTTATCAGCACTAAGGCTGAGGATGCATACTGTGTGTTGAGTGCACCTGACATATAGCATGTCTCTAGGTTATCAGCGCACTGACCTATAATGCCTATAAAAACCTAAACACTTACGATGTTCAACTGAAAATATTGAGTTTAAGAATTTGAAAAGTTATAGACATTAATGTATTTTATTGTTGCTGCCAGAATTTTTGGAGCCGTAGTTAGGAATGTGGATTGCTGAAAATTCATGAACCAATAGTTCCACAAAGCTTAGCCAAGAAAAGCAACACTGAGCACATTAAATGCAAACATAACAAAAGCGAGGAAGCTGAGGTTATTCCATTCTTACCTAAATCTACACCTGTGTCTTCACTGATAAAGCAATAGGAAATAAGCAGGAAGAATTCATTGTCGTGCTAATCTGTGTGTGCAGAGCTGCTATCAGCTGAGAGCTCTTAGCTCTGTGAATAGCAGCATTACTCACAGACAGACTGTGATAACAGTAAAGAGGACACAGTCACTTTGGACATGTCAGAGACACGCGTGTACACACACACAGTCTGGCTTTATCAGGGCTTTTCAAAAAAAAAAAAATAGTGCCACCACAGGAGGAAGAGATGAGACATCTTATAAAGTGCCAATGAAAAACCTAAGGCAAACATCTCATGACACGATCATTGTGTTTAGAGACAACCTGCCAAGTTAAAATAGTTTTTAAAATGTGAACTATTTTGTTATTCTGATCAGTGACAAATCAAAGTTAAAAACAAGGCTTTTAAAGCAAGTTAAATTTGATTCTGGTTATGTCAACTTTTCAAGGCTTAAGTTGGTGTAAAATGTTTACAAATGTTTTCATGATCAATCATCGCCGTCAAATAGTGTGTCTGTTCCTACTACAAATGATTGGTGTGAATTCACATAAATGGAATATTTAATTAAAAAATATTGAATGAAATAAAATATATATTTTTAATTAACATTTTTCTCACACATTTATAAAAAAATATGATGCTAAAAATATATATTTTTTTGCATTAGGGCCTGTGAAAATATTATCAGGGAATTTTTAAACCTGACCTGTCTGGGCTAGCAAAAAAAAAAGAAGTCCTTATTGTTGAGCAGTTATGTAATTCGTTAATTAGTTAGTCTCACCTGTCCTGAGTGCCAAAAGAGCCCAACTTGTCATTCCTCATGCAATAATCCGGTGAACTCTGCAGATAAACCAGCTCATTCTCTCTGACTGGCCGGATGTCGATATCTTTGGGGACGAGTTGTTTGCGTGTTCCCATGGGCCGATGAACCACCTTAGTGGCTGACAAATACTTGGTCTTTAGGTCAATGGCGATGTCCTTCAGGTCCTGTAGGCCTCTCCAACAGGTCCGAATGGAGCAAGAACCAGAAACACCATGGCATTTGCACTTCATAACCAGAGCGTCTCGCAAAGCCTGTGTAGGGGGGACAAGTGGAATGGATTCAGATGAAGACAATAAAAAAAATGACATGTTGACAGTCTACGCAGGGAATGCAACATATTAGTGAATTTGGACAGCTTTTGCTCATTACACATCATGTATCAAATAAAAGAACAAAAACTTTGAAATCCAATCAAACTCAAATGTAATAACCCATTTTAATTATAAATGTGGTTTGAATCAGACTCCATGCCCGACTGTCTGTCAGATTAAGTCATGGGATTTTGGTTTTGTAGTGAATTGATGCCACATGGTTTCTGTGAGGCACCGCTTACCTGTCTGCCCACTTCACTATTGTGAAGATGCATCAGCTTGTTGGCATTCGAGCCAGACTTCTTCTTCATCTTCATGGGGGCATCAGAAAACTTGGAGCCCATGAGGAGACCATAATGCAGGTTATCAGCACAGCCGCCCCACCTGTACCCAGGCTCAGGTATTTCACCTGGAATCGGACCACACGAGCACAGCCTCAGGTCTCCGGATGTGCATGCCCGTGCTATAGTGTGACTTATAGCAGCTGCGGAGAGCGCATATACAAATGCAGATTCCCTCGTTCCTAAAAGACAACAAAACAACTAATTAAAATGAGTTGCTTATATAAAAAGAAAACATGAATTCTGAATACTTTGACTTTTTTCCGTTACAAAAAAGCAAAGCAACATGAGAAACCCGTCAGTATGCAGTATGAAAGGATAATGGCGGAGATTATGAAACGGTTCTCACAGTGCACATATGTCATGACAAGATAATAGGTGTAGAAACAGGAGAGGCTCAACTTGACCCTGTACAAGGTACATCAAAGGCCGTCTCCTTAGCGGTGCACTTACGAGAGGCAGAAGTGCTCGAACTCCTGACAAATGCAAACGGTCTGCGGGGAAGGACGTCATACAGTTCTCTAGAACTTCAACAAGATTTAGTTTGACCATCTCCGGCATTTGGATCACACTAAAAGCTAGTAATAAAAAAAGTCAAAAGCGTAGCATGCAAGTGTCACCGCCGTGTGGAAATTCAAGACGTGACGCTGCATCGTTAATCCACAGAAAAAAAACAAGTTGACTACACTATCTTTTTTTGGGACTATTTTTTTTTATTGATTTCATATTTCTTTAATTGGTTCACAGCTGAAAATCACAACTGTGCTGCAGGGGTCGGACGCAGGGTAAAACCATAGGCTTTAAATGACTGTGAAACCAGGAAAAAAGGCAATTCTCTGTCCATTACTGACTAACTCGCTCAATAGCATCTCTCATTGAATAGAATGGATCCTATTGTTTGTCCTCACAGTAAACGCTCCTCCTCCGTGAAGCCGCTCATCAAACGGAGCATGAGAAAGAAGAGCGACACGCAAGAATTCTGCTGTTCGGAGGTTTCCGGGTGGGCAGGGGTACGATTTCTTTTATCATGCAGTGAGGCACTTAGGCCGAATTGCTGCATTTAACTGGCATAGTCTGCGTTACCCGGAGCGAGAGTGTTTAGAGATCACCGTAGGCTGCTTTTTAAACCATTGCCCTCATAAAGAGTTAGATGGGTTCCTCAGACCTATTAAGGCCTGAATGGAAACCACACTTGGGTATAAAGAGAGGTGTGTGGTTGCCTTGAAGGGGCTGGCAATGGACGGACAGCGGCCCTTTCGCAAATTTAGGGCTTGCTGTGTCTAAACAGAACATCTGTGGATAGATTTCAGAAAAGCTTCACACAAAAGAGACTTCAATTGGAAATAAATCCTCTTTGGACATGATTTTCCTCTGTATCTCACCTCGTTCCAGGTCCGGGAGGAATTTTGGAGCATCAATAGAGGAACAGTTCCAGCGCATGTCTGTGAAGGTCTTTTGGCAGACCTTTTTAACCTCCCGTGCTGCTTGGATGATGGTTTGCATGAGTTCCAGGTTACTCCTACAGAGCTGAGCCTGAGAAGAGACGAGGCCTGGCAACGTCTTGCAGTGCTGGGTCTTGTTGATGTGTTGTGTGGTCTGCGATAGCGACCTAGATGAGGAAGTGCATATGTTTCAATGAACACTGGATGTCTGTGAACTGTGTGCATTGATATAAATGTCTTTTGAATTGTAGAAATGTAATCAAATTTTATATTACAAGTTAAACAGACACTTGAAATACTCATTAAAATGTTTGGTGGTGTGAAAAGTAATCAAAATATTTGTGGCAAGTCTTGAATTTAAAGTGACTAAATGAAGCATAGTCAAATAAACATGGTTAAAGCCAACTCTAAAATATTAGGAGTAACATCAACGGTTTCAATACGTTTGCAAAAGCGTTCTCGCACGCATTTAGGCTGTGGGCTAAAATTTTTCAGTGTCTCTCACAAAGGCATGCAAACAACAACCCATTCCCAGAGATAATCAATCAAGATTAGACCAAAATGGAAGAAGATTATTTCTGCATCGCTTGGAAGCAAGAAAAGGCACCAAAAAGCAATTGCCAATGGAAAATTTTTTGTTTATCTGCAAAATGATTTGGTTATTGTTAAAAGTTTAGTGAATGTTCCATGGTGCTGTCGGACAATGCCAGAGGATTTTTTGCAAACTTAAGTCATAGTAGAAAATGCAAATCATACATTTTATCTTAGAAATTATCTCCAGAGATAAACAATATTAATTTCAGTAAGACTTTGTAGTGAAACGTTCCGAATTGAAGCATGGCTTTGTATGATTCCTTCTCTTTTACTACAATGCACACATGTATCACTATTCATGAGAACCAACTAATGCCTGCTCTACCTTTGCCTGTTTCAGATTAGGGGCCGCCACTTTATGTTCCATGATATGCTGTGACTGACAGACCCCTGTCTTAACCTCCGCACACACACATACATTCTCCATCTTTGTTATCCAGGGAACACAGGTGTTTATGGTGGCATCTGTTTTGCATTTCTTGCCATGCAATATCAAGACTGTGGAAACCTCTACCAGCATCTTGTGCATGCAAAATAGCCTCTTCACGACCCAATTTCTCCACCATCAGGTTTTCGATCGCAATGCATCAGCAGTATGATTATGTGAATCCAAAACATTGTGCAGAAATCAGAAGTTACCAGGAAAATAGTATTCAGTTGGATTTTCCTTTGATTTAATAGAATTAAGTTAAAATTCTGTGAAGATTTTTTCCAATCCCGTTTTTTCACTACCAAGAAAACATCTTTTCCCAGGTTCCATTTTTTTCATTGCAGATGATTTGACAAATCAGTCAGCTTGTAAAACATCTTGAATGCATTTTAAACAGTTTCGGTATATAATAAAGAATAAAGAGCAACTCACAGCCATCTGATTCCTGTGCACTGCTGGGACAGGAGCAGGAATGTAAGGAGACACAGCGGGAGTGAAGGGAAGGTTCGCTTCATGCTGTACAATAAGATCCAGCTCGATCAGAAGACACTGATGCAGGTGCTCGCTGACCCCACTGCTTCTTGACACAGTTATTATTAAAAGCCAAAAGACATGGCACTTATTCCTTATTTCCGTCCCTCTCCTGCTTGGAAAAATAAAAATCAGATTTAGATTACACAGATCACATGCAGCGGACTCTAGGTTCATGTTATACTCTGATGATTACTAATGTGCACCAGACATACTTTGAAGATTTTTTAAAATATAAAAAAGTCTTTATAAATAGCTTTACTATTGCTCCAATATATTTAAATTCTGTATAGTTATTATGTTATTCGATTGCATTACTGTATCACTTTCGTTACTGAGGATTTAATATCATTTAAATTAAAAATGTGTATTTGTTTTTTTTGTATCTCCTTGTGACAAGAAAACACTGAAAAAAAAAAAGCTAATTAAAAAGTGATTAGAACAGCAATATGTTTTATTAAAAAATATGTACAAATTTTTCAGTGTTTTAGTACTCTGCATGCAAATTTCTGAAATATAGGTGTGGCAGTATTTGGAATGTTATCAAATGTTCTCAGATTATTCCATCTGCTGAAATAGGAGGGCAATAAACAGATACTAGCTCCCAGTGGACAGGCTGTCTGGCCTCTGGCAGGATGCTTTCACATACAGACAGTGATTGTCCAGATTGCAGAGAGCTTGCGTTTTTTTTTTTCTTCTGGCTATAAACCTACACCAGAAAACTTTACATTAAAAGTGCAATTACTATTACAAACTTAAATGACAATATTTATAGTACTTATTACATTTAAAATGTTTTCTGCTGTTGAACTTACCACTATAATTTCAACTGTAATAATTTCTATTATTTTATTTATTTTCAGTCGTTTTCATCAATAACAAAATGTAAAGTGCAGATTGTAACTTTGATACTACATTGATTTTACTAACACATTTTAAACAGCTATTAAACTTTTTTTATTTTCAGTTTTAATGCGTTCTTTTTAAGTGAAACAAATATAAAGAAATACAATGCAGTTTATATCCTATGCATTATCTATAATTTAGATATGCTACCATCGTATGGCCAGCCATACGCAATTCAAATATTTTAATATTTCTTCAGAGCTCTTATACAGCCTATGTAGGCTAATTAAACAAATCTCACATGATATATAAATAACGGCTATTTAAAGATATGAGCGATTAACTTTTATTGTGTGTAGATAGATGCAAAAGCAATAAAACAGCTGTTTCGCTCTTGCAGGCTGCGGTTTCTCTAAGTTTGACTTTATCTTTTATCTCGTTTTTTTCACCTTGGGTGGAAACGAGGTAAACTTAAAATGTAATTAGTTCACTCGATAGAACCCCTTTAGCTGGTCTACTATTTAGGTAGCCTACTATTGCAGATTACTTCCCAGTCAATTTACTTAAACTGCATTAGGGATGATATTTAAAAGCTAAAACATCTTTAAGTAAGTTGAGATACGCTATCAAGCGTACCAAGTTAAGAAACTTTGCGCACAATTAATGGGAACGCACTTTCATCCTCACCTTTATCAAACGGAGACTGACGCCAAAAAAATGTGCAAAGTAATCCAAAAGTGTGTTTTATTCAAATCCAGCCAGAATTGTCTAGCCAAAGGTCTAAATGTGCGTTAATCCGTTTTTGTAAAGTCCAAATGAGAAAGCATCATGCAACAGTCCACTGATAAAGAGATGCGTGTTGATTTTGCGGTGCGGTGTTACTCGCGCGCTGGAATCTGCTGGACTGACGCTGCAGACGGAGCTCGAGACTATATGAGCCCACGCGCCACTTTGATCTCGCGCTGATGTCAGGGGCCATTAGCATAACAAAGTGGTTAAGGTTTCCAAACCAAAGAAAACGCTGAAAATATGATCTGTGACACTCCGACATCTCGCTACTTTTGACACGGAATTTCAACGGTTTTTTAAAAGGCTATGTTCATTATGGGTCAGTCGTCGAAAAAGGTGCGGTTTGTGTCCCTCATGAATAGCCTGTGTGTAAACGATGAGTTTGAAAAATTACCACAAACTCTTACTGTGATATTGTAGGAAATTATTTAATTTATAATTTTTTTATTTCCTTTTCTGTTTCCAATTTATTCCAACACACATTTCAGTGGAAAAATATATTTATTATTTCTATAAATAACTTTAGATTAGGTTAGAATAAAAACTGTTGTTCATAACTATGCTCTATTAAAATTATTTACAATTCCATAAATACATAATGACATCATCATCCTTTCAGGATGTGAACTCAAGGACAAAGGTGTGATTTATTAGCACTTCATCTTAGATTTTGTCAGTAGGGCATGATTTTAAATAGTCCACCCTGTCGCCATTATTTTGTACAGTAGTGATTTTTGGAGTGGATATTTGTTGAAATATCAGCATTAAATTTCCTTTCTAATAAACTACTCATGATATCATGCCATCGGCTAGTATTATATTGTAAAAGCACTAAATGGAACAGACACCCTATTACTAATTTCCTGCACTGTAAACCTCGAGAGGTGAAAAATCGAGGGAGCATCCATTTCAGGAAATAAAATCACAGAATTTGCTACAACGTTGGAAATATTGCAATTCTAGTGTTTGCATGGTCCATAAAATTAAGTAGGCTATGCGGCTGTATTCCAGAGTTTCCACACTCGTGCCATTTACAGTGCTGTACACGGCACATATTGGCCACTCCAAAAACAAGGCAATTTTCCAAGGACGCTAATACTGATTTCAACGTGATGAATACGTCCTGATGCACATTTCATATTAGCCACTATATGACAAAGGTTGTTCTACATTTCACACGATAAATGATTTAACCTCCAGAAATACTCCCAGTAGCCCATTGAAGTCCACATCTGAGCAAAGATATTTCCTAATTTATAAAAATGAGCTATTAAATTCTTTTGTTGTTTTTGGTCTATCAAGAAGTATAAAAGAGTCCATTAAAGGATTCATTATCGTTATGGATTGCTAATAATAAATATAAATGTGTTGAGAAAATATTGTTATAGAATAAAAAAATAGGCCAGTATGTGTCTATTTATTACAGGTCGCACCACACACAATGGCCAAGTTAATATTTTAACCATCTAAGGTAACTGTCATTTTAACAGTGTCTATGGTGTAATAAAAGTCAAGATGTTCTCTGGCCATATGCTTCTCTTATTAACCTGGCTCTCTGGTCCAAAAATGCCTCCTGCAGTGAATTCCTTAACACTCACACAAGTTTCCCCTGTGAAACACACCACACAACCAAATTTTCGAATAACGATGCAATTAAAATACAATCATTAAGACTTTTTCCACTGTTAACAGTATCTACTGTTTTATATAAAGCAGGCAATTCCACTGATTTTGTGGTTAAGTGTTTAAAAGTAGGTGTGTGAGTATAAGTTTGAAACAAAAGAGCAAGCAAGAAAAAAACTAACAAGAAAAACAAACATCAAAGCTAAAGTGCAAAATAAAAAAGGTCCACACGCTGCATATGAAAAAAATGTACATGAAATTTATGGCAAATTGCTTGTAAAGTACAAAACAGTGTTACAATAGTAAGGTCAAAGCAGATAGGCCTACTTTCCAGTAAATGAGCAATGAAAGTCTGTTTTGTTCTATGCATTTTTTCCTACCATCTACATATTTTTTCGTAACACTTGCAAATGTTTGAACGAAGTTATTCTCTGACGCTCCTCAACATCAAAAGAAACCCAATGGATGTTTCTCGCTATTAAGTTGAATCGAACTGCACAGATCCCGTTTGTTCAAGGTCTTGCGTGTGTATGAGTAAACGCCAGGCGCTACTTATTATCTTGAACTGTATTTACTTATGTGCAGTAAATCACACACTATAACCTTGATTGACCCACCGAATGCCTTTCTTTTCACGTCCTGTTGCATAATAAAGCATAGTGAGGGATGTCAGGAAGACAAAATGTCACACAGACTTAAATCATTCACTCTAATGAGGCCTGCGAGAGAGGCATGATATTGGAAACTGTAGGCATGACTATTTTAGTTTAATTGATTTAAGAAATAATCTAATAAACTAATCCTTCTCTCGCAGCTGAAACCAAAGCAGCGAACAGAAAAGAGGGCAGCATGTATACTTAGAGCTAATCTGATACTCTTAAGAGGTACCACCGACAATTGCCGAAGCATGACATTTCCATTCGCCGCCAAGCTGCACCGTTTCAGCTCAATATAACGTGAAATGCCCGTGGAGCTCTAATCTCGAACCAAAGCTATGGGAAAGCAAATATACGCGTTGTTTCACTAAACACATCTGCCCACAGCAAATGATTTAAATATGCGGGAATGGGAATTAGCCAAACTGAGGGGGATGTGCTGGAGATAACGTTTGCATAATGAATCATCTGCGATTCAAATGATGCCAACTGCTCCGCACTATTTGTCTTCTATCTGAGACATCATCAGACACATAGCACCATTTACCCTGACACATATTCAGATCGTTCATTCTGAGCTTGTTGAAGGAGTGCAGAGACACAGTGCCCCCTGTCCCCTGACGTCTCGGGTCTCTGCCGTGCTCACAGCTGTCTCATGTCTCAGTGACTGTCAGCGGCGCAGAGCTAGAACTGCACGGCTGCATCTGAGCTGCACATCACACTCCTGATATGTATCACTAAGAATCAGTGTCACTAAGAATCACTAAAAAATAAATCTGTCCTAATGCCTGTTAGTTTAAAAAATATTGTCATCAGCAGTGAAGATTTAATGTCTTGTGACAATATTCTATAATAAAACCTCTGTTCATCATTATATACTGTATTCATTTATTACTTGATACTAAACATGTATTTCTATTGAACAACCATGAATAAATATATATAAAATGTGTGTGCGTGTATAAATTAATGCACACAATATCTATATGTACATAATCTACTACACCATTCAAATATTCAATAAAATAACAGAAATTACCCTAACTTTTGTTCCAGTACGCAATATATATTGACTTTCAGACAAGTCTAACTTGAAATAGAAAAAGTGAGACACATTGCTCTGTGTGAATGCATGGTTCCAGCAACGAATGGTGGGAATCGTTACCCGTTTGAGGGAAAACATCTACACAGTCCAAACAGAACACAGCAACAATGTTGATTTGAAACATTGTTCAGCAGCTCTGTGTCTCCGACAAATACAGAATCCATTTGTTTGAGACACAAGAAAGGCGACAACGTCTGTTTGGTGCTGTCTGCTACGCCGTAATGGAGAGTCTGTCGTTGACTGGCTGTTTAAACTAGGAGGAAATGCATCATTTTGGCTGCAGCACTGTGTCCAGCCAGTTTATTTAAGCTAAGGTGGGAGAAGCTTTGTTTTGGCTGTTCTTTTGAAACCTGTTTAATTAGGCAATCTCATAAAAACAAATCATGATTTAATAGGCTGAACGAAGAAAGACCTGACAAACAGCTTATGTCGGCATGCCAGTATCCTGAGGTTTTGTTTCTATTGCAAGCACGGTGGTGCTAATGTTCAAATGGCTTAAATGTAAGCAAATTACTGTTTAAGAGAACATTTTAGGAAGTTTACATACACTAAACATCAAGAATGAGAACCGCTCCCCACTTTCTTATTATATGCTGAAACTAATTCAATGCTTTCAGTGCACAAAAAAAGCACAGAAAATGCTTTTGTGTCTGGGTTTGTGTGTTCTCAGGTGCTTTTTGCTGTAAAAACACTAGGACAGTCAAACTCAGCAGGAGAACTCGGAGAGAAAACGTTCAGCGTCCAATTCAGACTGTTTAGAGAGTTTGGACCTGTTCTTCAGAAAGGGGCCATTTGTTTAGGACTGGCCCTCTCTCTGCTCTTTGAAGGCGATGGCCCCTTTCATGTACCAGATGGGAGGTACTTTCAAAAACACAAGTGACTTGTCTCACTGTATGGGAAACATGCACCCGTTTGTTTTTTGCTATTGGTGTCTGGTAACATTTGCTACTTCAAAGAAGTCCCTCAGATATGGTTATATGCAAACTGATTTGGAAAATGACAAAACTTGCTACAAGCAGAAGTAGACCTTTCATGAAAGCAAATTCTATAATCATTAACAAACATGCGAGGAACTCGATGCTCCACAGCTTGTCACTGCAGTGTTGTAGCTGTGTGGGGTTTGATCTCTCCACTTGTAAATGATAAAATAGGTGGGAAAGACAAGGAAGCGAAGGGGAGGAACAATGAACGCTTGTTCACAAGCCAGCGTGAAACATGGAAGGAGAATTAAACTACAGCTACAAACAGCAGAAGCATGAAAGGCCTTACAGACATCGCCTTGTGTGTGTCCAAGTTGTCCTGTCCACATTTGAGAGAGCATTATTTTCCCCTCAGTACAAGATCAAAGCCTTTACCCATCTGCCAAGGAGAATGCTGGGACAGGCGATACAGATTAGATAAAATCAGTATCACAGCGATTTTATCGGTCAGAAGAGACGCACTTAAGGCAAGAGCGTTTTCTACTCAAAACAAGATCAAAAGAAGCTGCTCATCAACAAAAGTGGGCGGGTTATAGAGGTTTATATAGATGAGATATAACCACTGTCATTGGAAATGAGACAGCAGACGGAATACATGCTGCTACAGCATTCCTAGCAAAAGCTAGATAAAAAGCCTGTGCAGCATAAGAGCCAGAGGAATACAGGACATCATGCATGTCTAATGTATCACTACTATTTTAGAATAAACAGTCAGCAGTATCTATTTTAGCTG